ATAAGCATTTTTAGGGCATTTATCAAGTTTTTAGGTCATTGTTCAGAATTTATCTATAAATTATTAAATATTAAGGTATTTAATTATGTATTTCAGCATTTTTTTGCTCAAAACTTGTACGTTTAGTTTGTAATTTACTAAATTGATAAACTAATAAATACGAACATATCGACTTATGTTCCTATTTTATCAACAATAGAACAAAATTAATATAGCTGAATATTTTTTTTTCTATTTACCAGAGTCCAATGACGATCATAACAGCAACTTATGAAATGAATTAAATTTAAATAAAGTTAAATCAAATTTAAATATTAAACAGAAAAGTACCTATTTTGTTATTATTATGTTAAATAAATATAATTAAATATGTTTGGTAACATGATTTTTATAATCTCATTTTTAAAATATGATAAATCAATTTTCTTATGCATTTTTTGATAGTTTTTAGAGCATTAAAAATCCCAGCCTTAGTTGTAACAAATTAAATAAATAACTTTAGTACATGATATGTAACTGTTCATGTAAATCGTTAATTATTTTTAATTATATGTCTGAATTTCAGAGTTGTCGTTTAAATATCATACTTGGTACTTCCGTATGGTCTAATAAGTACCAATTATATGGTTTCTTCAAATGTTATTTAAGATATTTAACTTCAAAGTGATGTAGTGTAATTACGGTATAATTTACAAATACAGAATACCAAATATATACGTCCATACTGTAATCATTGTATACATCCCTTCATAGTTCTATCATTGCGCTATAGAATACGTAATTTAACACTAATATTTAATATTTAATCAAGTATGTGTTCATAGGTTTGTACATTTTAGATAGAAAATAGGTAAAACTCGTTATATTATCTCAATTTTACTGATATTCTTATATATATATATATATATATGAGAACCTAATGAATATTAATTTTATTATTTTAATGAAAATAAATTTACTTTCCAAGATGAACTTCTAACATACTGATAAAAAAAAGCAATATGGTATTTTATTTTTAAAATTAACTAAATTTGTAATTATTTCAGTAAAAATGTTAACATATTTTTATCAGCCTGAAACTATGTTTTCAAATATACACTGCAAATGATAAAATGTGAACATCAAATTTCAAGGACTCAATATAATGTAACAAGAAATAGGGGTTAATTTTAAAAATTATAGTCCTATTTATTCTTTTTTTTAATTCATATAAAATGTTATATTTTCACTAAATTGAATTTTAATTCATGCGTTTTTTGTTAGATTACTGTAAATATAATAATAATGATAAACAATATTCTTTTACGGCTGATCAAATCTGAGATAAGCTCTGACATCACAGTCAATTTTTTTAAAAGAAATAATGAAATAATGAAATTTAAGAATATATAAGATGTATTTAAAATGTTAAAAACATGTATATTTATTTTTTTATTTTTATAATTCAAAATTAGTTTTATTGAGATACGAGTAAGTTATAATGAGTATATTAGAATTGCTTGTATTTTAAAAATCTTTCTTCACATAAGTGGAATTAAATATTGAAATCATTTCACATGCACATTTTTTCAGATTTGAAATAATGACAAAATATCAGTAAATTTAGCGGGCTGGTTTGAAAAACTTGACGGGCCATAGGTTGGAGGCCCCTAGATTTTAGATACTTAAATTTAATTTTTTTAACATAAATTAAGTTGGTATTTTTTTACCAATACATATAATATTAAAAAAAAAGTAATAATAATAATGATCCTGAATCATCCTGTTAACCTAACTTTCACTTTCAACTCTACTATATCTCTATACATTTTCACATTACTGATGCTCACTCGGACATGTCCTCTTTTATAACCTTTACGTATACCCGTATTAGATGCAGGTTTCTTCTGAATAAAACGTGTTTAAAGTGAATAAATATTCATAGATAATCAAAACAATTTTTTTATTTATAAAATATGACTACCCAATAACAAAGGTGAATAAAAAAAAAACTATTATTTAAATTATTATTTAACAAATTAAAGCCACCCATATTTTAAGATCATTTTGAATAATAAAATAATCCCAAATAAAATTACAGTATATAAACAGATATAATTATTTTATATTGTATTTAAGTTTTTATAAAATGAGGTCAATTAATTATATGCATACAATGTATGACGATCTACCGTGTATGACAACGATAGTGTAGAGAAAAATTAATGGCTAATTGTAGAATTCAAATTTTAATTAATTCCTTATACGGAGTTTCGAATGCTCAGTGAATTATGCATTAAGAAACAGTAAAAACGATTTAATAAATTTTAGGAACTGTAGCGAATACATTAATTACTAAACATTAAAAAATATTAAAATGTGCGACTGATTTCCATAACTAACGTTTTTTTAAAATCATATTGATGGAATAATTTATTATTTATTCGACGGATGTCATTTCGTAGAACTAAGTACCTATTTAAAAGAAGATAAATATTTTACCAAATCGTTAATAATTAACGATTTGGTTTTGATTTTTCCTCAATTATTGAGGAATTTGAATAGTTGTTGTGAGTGATAGGTAAAATAGCTTTTAATATGAAGTATAGAATTAAAAAATAATATAAAATGTTTAATGTATTATTAATGTAGTAACTATACTTTTATAGTTATGAAATGCAAATAATCAAGGGGCTCACAAGATAAATAGCTACTTGAAGAAGTAAATAATCTATATTATTACAAAATATTCGCAAATGAGACGGAAGCTTAAAAATATCAATGACCTTCCAAAACATGTAAAAAATAAATTTGACTATCACTGGGAAAGACAAATGGTTATTCATTAAACCTTACAATTGATTCGAAGAGGAACAACTAACTTTCTACATATAGACTTATCTGTAATAATTGATAAATGTTCATTAAAACAAAGTAACAAATACAAACTTTGACAACAACAATTTTTCAATTATCTTTAAATTACTAATTTGTGTCAACCAATTCTAATCAATGAGAAGCTGAACTGAAAGTTCTGTAGAATTCCTCACCAATACATTTTTTTTCGCAGTATGGTAATTATGTTAACATAGAGATCTAGTTATTATTATTATTTTTTAATTTAAATTGATGTGTATACTTTCAAATCTAACGTGGATATTATGTTATTATTCCTTAGTTATATTCAAAATTTTTATATGTACGTATAAATATGAAAATAATTAGATATCTCAGAATCTTCAGGGCTTCAATGTCAAGGTTTATCCTGGAGGCGAAGGATAAACTATAGAATAATAGTAATTTATTATTGTAACAACTGCTAAGTTATGAATTATTATGTTAGTTTGAAAAACGATTCAATAAAGATCCTAATTTTAAATCTAACTCTACCTTTTGAAACGGTTACAAAACATTTAATTGATTTTTTTTTTTATGAATTGGAAATAGTGTTATGGGCTATAGACTATAATGTAATTTGGTATAGTTACACTTTCACTGAAAAAATTACAGTAATTACTTGATCGTGAAAATTGCGTCATTTCTAGTTTAATGTTCAGTCAATTGTTCCCAAATACTACTATTGAAGTAATCAGTCGTAGAATAGAATATAAATAAGATAAAAACGATAAATTTTAGTTTTAAACCGTATATTGTTCACCATTGATCATTACTGTAACTATTTTTTTTTCAGAAAACCAATATATTTATTTACGATAATTATATATTGTAAAATTACATTAATAATATAAAATAAAAATGTCAAGTAATTTGAAATTAACACGAACTAATTGTTTGTAATTATCATATCATAAAGTATAACATACATATGTAAATACGAATTATACCGAAGTACTTTATACTTTTAAAATAAACCCTTATGGGTGAAAAATATATAAAATAATATAAGAATAAGCTTGTGACAACTATCTACTGTATATCTTCCGGTTTCACAGCTATTATTTTTGGTTAATTAGGACATTCTTTGGATGGTCATTGAAATAAGTTTATTGCGCGATACGGCCTAAATAATAACAATGGATGTACGTGTCAATCTCAAAATGAAAATAATGCAAGAAAAAAATATACGGCTAACGTTTATGTACGTTAGCCATTATAAAAAAGAAAAAACGTACTGTCTATTCGAAGAATTCGTTTACTGTAAAAAAATAATCATGAAACCGTGTCTGACACGTATAATGTTTAAAGTCGCTAATAAAAACAAATTTTAACCGTTTGAAATTAATTTCTATACCAAAAACTAATAAAAATGGCAAATCTAAAGTTAAGATAGATAAATTACTAAAAGTTCTCCGCAAAAAAATAATCTTAATTTTATATTTTCTAGTTATTAGTTTCATTACTATATATTTTATATTTAGTAGTCATTATTATATTCAGGGTTTATAAGTATGTTATCATGTTGTAAATTATAAATAATATACATGCACAATCTTATAATATTATGGCATGTTCATAAATTATTTAAAACAAATAATAAAGAAAAATGTAATTATTAAAATTTACTAGAAATAAAATATATGAAAAAGTTTTAAATAGTCCTATTAGACAAGAACTTTCAATAAAATGTTGTATTTTATTTGAAAACTAATTACTTAAATGGAAGTTTTTGTTGTTAAGGGTGTGGTAAATCTAATACATTAGATATATTTAGGTACAACTACATTTTTTTTTAATGTATTAAACATAATATAATAACATTGCATTGTTAAATATAAAACGATATTTTATGAATTTAATTAATTAAATACACACAAGGATCAAATTTAATAAGAAAATAAATTTAGGTCACTGTGGGGATCAAAACTCCAACTAAATTATTTTCATATATATTTTCATTAATTGACTTAATGTTGAATTCTGCTATAATATAATTCGGGGTTAATCAAACATCAATACATGCATGCTTAGCTATTTAAGGTTTTTTAAAATAATTCAGTGATATTATACTTCGAAGATATATCCAACATAATTCGAATATTAATAAATACTATAAATCTTACATATCCAAATATTTCCCTGAGGACCAAGATCCGCTTGCAGATACTGTTTTCGAAAAGCAAATCGTAATCCGTTTAAGTCGTCTCTAAGTTGATTACCATCCATATCCAATACACTCTCGGGTACTAACAACAAATTATCGATCCCTTCTTCGGGACCAGTTCGTCTGCTGTCCTCGTTATTATGTCGATAATGTGGTACCCTCAATAGACCCGCCATAGGTAAATTTGTTGAACATATCACGTAATAATCCACATATTTCGAACGAATAAAATAATAAAAAAAACACACTAAACTACTATATCCACATGCGAATTTAATGAAATTTGATAAACATATATTTGTCTACATCACATGGTCGGAGAGACTGGCGGTTGGATAGCTACAGCACGAACGACACTTACTAACCTACTGAAGCCTGAAACCAGTGCAGAAACCAACATTCCGCCGGCAGCACGGCTGGAGGGGAGCAACTCTGTCATTGATGTACTCTTGCGGATCACTTTCAAAACGGTAACCGATTTTCTTAGGTATAATTTTCCAGTATATTTATAACAATTTTATAATTATTAATAAAAAAATAAACACTTAACGCTTTTCAACAGAAACTTCTTAATTATAATTTTATATTATTAGGCGATATACAGGGAATTAATGATCTTATTTTTGACCAATTGTTATTGTTGTTCACAGAGCGTGTGAACACATATCTCATATTTAATTTCAAAATTATAAGAAATATCCCGGATTCTTGTTTTAATTTGTACTTAAAATAACATGGTAAATTAACAAATAGATACAAAATAATTATCGTAAGATAGTAGATATATATAAGAAGTGCAAATTTTGGTATACGATATTAGATTTTAAAAGTTTTTAATAATAGTTAAGATTAACGTAAATATGGATATTTATACTCTTAAATTAAAAAAGAATAATTATCCCATGAATAGGATACTTGGCTTGTATGAATCAATGGCTTGTAAACGCTAAAAAAATCATCCTGTATTATAATATTAGTATAGAACAGTGGTGGCCAAACTTTTTTTTCCTCGGGCCATAAAAAACAACTTTTTTTTTATCGCGGGCCATAAAAAAATGCATTCTAAATTTTTTTTTACGTAAATGCAAAATATTACAGTTATACAAATAAGTGCTGTAATATAGAAGACTTTCGCGGGCCGGATTTGGCCCGCGGGCCGTAGTTTGGCCACCACTGGTATAGAACATATATACATTAAAATAATGCAATTTAGTTCACGAATTTAATTTCGAGAATTTATTCAAATTTGTTACCACTTACATAAAAAAAAAATAATAATAAAATAATGCATACTATTATTTTATAATATAATACTACTTATTCTACAAAAATATCGTTATAAAAATTATAGTAGCAGAAATAGTATGTAAGATTTCTTTTAATACATACATTATAAGTTTTAGTATGAAAGAATAAGATCAAATAGAACATTAATAATAAGTATTTTAAATACTATAACTTAATTTAAATGTATAAAAATTAATGAACGTACAATATATTATAAATAGAGAAGTGAGAGTCGTAAATGGAGATTTCCTGTTGCATGTGTATACGTATATAATGTATCTGTTTAACATAGTTGCTGTAAGACGATGATTATTACTCATCACTTCATTAGGATATACATGACCCTGACCCTGACCATTCTGGTTGGATAAGTGTATTATAAACCAGTAATGCTGTGAAATTTGGGTCATAATACAAGAAACAAGAAAAAAAAACAGCCAACAGATTTCAAATTAATATAGATATGAAACAGTATAAATAACGAAACTGAACACACTGTTTTATTTTAACATTACGTACTTATAAAACTTTTATTATGAACTTTCTAATTTTAATTTTTTTTTATTATAATTTGTATTTAAAATTGCTCTCTCAAGCTTTAATAATAGAATAGGTAAAATTTTTATAAAATAAAAGAATACGTATTGAATTTATTCAAAATGACTGTAAATTAAATAGTAGTATAAAAAAAAGTACTTAAGTAAAATGACACATGCTCCGCAATTGAATTACATACATCATATTCAAGTAGTATAAGTAAAATATGTTAGCTATTAACAATTGTTTAAAATAACAAACATAAATATTTCCATGCATTTGAAAAGTGAAAATTGCATAGAAAACAGTGGGATACTTCAAAATGATTGGATACAGTTACGGTCCATCACCTTTATATACCACGCTTTTCATCGACACCTTCGATTTTCTACAATTAAACTGGGACACTTTCTAAAAATATATCCCTTTCAAATGTCATAACACACCATGATTGACGCATATTTTGTAAAACGAATAAAAGATTTTCAAATTTTTCTTCTTTCATATGATGAACATGTAAGTGAAATTTGAACTAAGGAAGATAATCTTTTGAAATAAATAGAATCAAACAAATTAAGTGGTTAAGATGTTTAATGTTTATGCATAATGCATACAAATATCTTTGTTATTCTTAAATAGTAATTTAAAATATAATATATTATATGATAAAATTCTTTGTTCTTCCATCATGTTGTATTACGTACAGTATTTAATCTGAAGAAAATTTACTTACTCCAGTTCTCATTGTATTGATTACTTGCTAACCAATCCATTTGCAAAACAAATGTGAGAGCATGGTTCATTGTTAAAAATATTAAAACGATATTTTTACTTATGGACTTATGTTTCAAATAGCATGTAATAGAATGGATTACTCACCTAAAAAGTAAAAAGATAAAATAATTAATACATTGATAATAAATATAAATGATATACTATAATGGGCATATATATATTATTAAATAACTGATGATTGACTAATAATTTTTTAAATAACTTCATTATATTTAATATCTTTAACAATACCTAACTAATATTGTTAGTAAAATTGTCTTTACTGGAAACATTATTGTTGGGAAGATTAAAAAATAAAACAATAGTCAATAGGAATAAATAATTTTAACTATAGTGAAAATGAAGGTACTTCGACAAAGGAGAATTCGTAGTTACATAATATTCAGAGACCCTGTTTGCAGCATCATATTATAAGGCCTCGAAAAAAATACATTGCAGGATCTCTATAACAGGGGTGGCAAACCTTTTTTGGTTCAACTGATAAATTTTTCAAATTAAGGTTTTGAAAATCGTTCACGTGTCTAAAGAAAATTATATTTTCTAAGAATAAAAATTAAATGATAAGATTTATTACATAATTTTTATTAAATTTTAGTCATTCTTAGTGAAACAAAGCAGCAATTGTTTCATCGGTCTAACATTTCTTTCTTTCGATTTAATTAAATTCGTTATGGCGAATAATCTTTTACAAACATAAGATGACGAAAAATATGAAAGTACAAGGAATATTATCATTTTTAATATATATATAATTTGTTTCTTCGAATTTCTTATAACCAATATTTTATAAGTAGTATAATTTTTTTTTTTTGTAAAATTTTTAATATTTTCAAATTTTTGCGCGTGCCATAGTTTCGCATCCCCTGTCTTATAACGTAGAAATAATTACATCAATAATAAGTACCTAATATAAATCATCATAATATATGGTAGAATGCATAATTTTTGATTTTATAAACAAATAATGTCTGAAGTTTTACGGTTTTACTAATTCATTTACGGATTGGCGAAATTATTTTAATAGTAAGTTTTATAATAATAAATAATTTGAAAAAAATTTAAATACATACAATCGTATTTTTATATTTTGTCTAAAATAAATATCGTAAAATAATAAAAAAAGCTCACGATATTATTATTATATTAGTATATTTTAATGTACAATTTTTATCTTTATATAACAATAACTAACGTAAGGAGTGACGATCTAAAACAGTGATTCCCAACATGGGCGCTACCGCCCCCTCGTGGACATTTTTTAATTTGAAGCGGGCGTTTATTTATCATTTACATTTGTATTGTTTATAACTAATTGCGATGAAATGTTAAACAGCGTAGAATAAAAATTAATTCAAAATATCAAATCTAATATATCGAATTATATAAGTATAATATTTATAAACACTTATATAACACCTAAATAATTATCTTATAGTACTATAAATTCTAGATATTAGGTAGGTGACAATAATAGCTTGATGTTATTATTGTCTTATCGGATTTATCGTATCCGTCGACATACCTAGTCGAAAGTCTTTAGAGCAGTTCAACAACTTTTGACCAAATCAAGAAACAAATTAGAAATATGTGAAAGAGGAGATTAAGGGGATGTCACACCCACATGTGTTGTCTTCGTCTACATACGTACAACATAACAAATTTGAGTTCAGTGATTCAAATGTAGTGAAGTTAGCTTTAATATTAGAGCAAACTGACCTATAATCAAAATTTAAGGGAAGAACATTATCTGTATTTTATTGGTCGGTTTTTTCCGATATTTTAATTTTTAAGCGTGTTATGAGTATGTAAAATATAATAATTAAAAAAACATAACTCGTTAAAAACTAAAATATCCGAAAAACCGACCAACAAAACACAAATAATGTACTCTCTTAAAGTTTGATTATAGGTCAGTTTACTATAATATTAAAGCTAACTTCACTACATTTGAATCACTGAACGCAAATATACTATGTTGTACGTATGTTAGACGGAGACAACACATGCGGGTGTGACGTCCTTTTAAGACTAATTGTGACTTCTATTAAGCCAGATAAAATTTCGTTAGCGGGAAACCATCAACATCAGGGCAGTCATTAGTCAAATAAGTATTTTTTGTGTTATTATTTTATATTAGCAATTTTGAAATCAAATTATATAATTCATATTATAAGTAAGTATTTAAATATAAAATTAACTAAATTGTAGAGTTAAAATGTTTATCTTTTTAAATTATTGATTGTGAGGGGGGGGGATGAGATTTTTAAAAAAATTACCAATAATTAATAAATATCATAGTCTTTTTTTATACGGTCTATATTAAATTCCGAAACTAGGAAATTTCATTGAATATCATACCAGTTTTTTGTGTTATCTGGCCCGTGAACCCTTTTTAATTTGTGTATGTGACCCAAAGGTTCGAAAAGGTTGCCAACCACTGATATAGTGTATAGAAATTAATCAGTACTCAAACTGTGGACTACAGAATTCTTGAAATATTTAAGAATATTACTTGAGTGTTGTATTAGTAAATAATAATTTTAAAGACATGTAAAATTAAACATTTAATTAGATGTACCTATTTTTATGTTAAATACATAAAACACATAACAATGTATACATATATTTAAATTAATTATCAAAAAATTGAGTAAAAATGTAGTAAAGAGCAATATAATTCGAGGCTTTAGATCATTATTAGTCTCCATTACTATTTTAACGACTGTATTGTATTACATGTATAAAA